TGTTGGTGTAGGGTAACTGTCTCATTGGTATATGTATACACTGGTCTATTGTAAAAGAGCGTATTTTGACCTGTTTTTGGTTGCTGTCTGTTTACTGTTTCATTGTATATGTAAATCCTTGTTTAGTGTATAAGAGGGTATGTTGATGTCTTATCGCTCTTTGTAGGTTTACTGTCTCGTTAATATATGTTTACACTGGTCTATGGTAAAAGAGTGAAGGTTGGTTTCTTTTTGTTAGTTGTAGAGTCACGGTCTCATTGGTATATATATACACTTGTTTATTGTAAAAGAGCGTATGTTGGCCTCTTTTTGTTTGTGGTAGGGTTTTGTCATATTGGTATATTTTTACACTTGTCTGTTGTAAAAGGGTGTGTGATCTTCTCATTTTGTTTGTTGTCTGTTTTACTGTCAAACTGGAATAAGTATACACTTGACTATTGTAAAAGAGCAATGTAGGTTTCTCTTTGTTTATTGTATGGTAACTGTTTCATTCGTATATGTATACACCTGTGTATTGTATATAAGAGTGTATGGTGTCCTATATTTGCTTGTTGTGGTGTTACTGTTTCCTTGATATGTGTACAGTCGTCAATTGTAATAGAGCATATGCTGACCTCTTTTTGTTTGTTGTAGGGTTGCTGACATGTTGATATAGGAATACACTTTTCTATCGTAAAAGAGTATATTGTCCCCTTTTCATTAGTTTCATTTGTATTAGTATACACTTGTGTACAATATATAGTGTATGTTGGCCTCTTTTTGTTTATTTTGGGGATAACTGTCTCATTGGTATATGTATACCAGTGTCTATTTGTTGTAGGGTTACGGTCACATTGGTATAGGTATACCATTGTCTAAGTGTTGTAGGGTTACGGTCACATTGGTATATGTATACCATCGTCTATTTGTTGTAGGGTTACGGTCACATTGGTATATGTATACTATTGTCTATTTGTTGTAGGGTTACAGTCACATTGGTATATGTATACCATTGTCTATTTGTTGTAGGGTTACGGTCACATTGGTATATGTATACCATTGTCTATTTGTTGAAGGGTTACGGTCACATTGGTATATGTATACCATCGTCTATTTGTTGTAGGGTTACGGTCACATTGGTATATGTATACCATCGTCTATTTGTTGTAGGGTTACGGTCACATTGGTATATGTATACCATTGTCTATTTGTTGTAGGGTTACGGTCACATTGGTATATGTATACCATCGTCTATGTGTTGTAGGGTTACGGTCACATTGGTATATGTATATCATTGTCTATGTGTTGTAGGGTTACGGTCACATTGGTATATGTATACCATTGTCTATGTGTTGTAGGGTTACGGTCACATTGGTATATGTATATCATTGTCTATGTGTTGTAGGGTTACGGTCACATTGGTATATGTATACCATTGTCTATTTGTTGTAGGGTTACGGTCACATTGGTATATGTATACCATCGTCTATTTGTTGTAGGGTTACGGTCACATTGGTATATGTATACCATCGTCTATTTGTTGTAGGGTTACGGTCACATTGGTATATGTATACCATCGTCTATTTGTTGTAGGGTTACGGTCACATTGGTATATGTATACCATCGTCTATGTGTTGTAGGGTTACGGTCACATTGGTATATGTATATCATTGTCTATGTGTTGTAGGGTTACGGTCACATTGGTATATGTATACTATTGTCTATTTGTTGTAGGGTTACGGTCACATTGGTATATGTATACCATCGTCTATTTGTTGTAGGGTCACGGTCACATTGGTATATGTATACCATCGTCTATTTGTTGTTGGGTTACGGTCACATTGGTTTATGTATATCATTGTCTATGTGTTGTAGGGTTACGGTCACATTGGTATATGTATACCATTGTCTATGTGTTGTAGGGTTACGGTCACATTGGTTTATGTATACCATCGTCTATGTGTTGTAGGGTTACGGTCACATTGGTATATGTATACCATCGTCTATGTGTTGTAGGGTTACGGTCACATTGGTTTATGTATACCATTGTCTATTTGTTGTAGGGTTACAGTCACATTGGTATATGTATACCATCGTCTATTTGTTGTAGGGTTACAGTCACATTGGTATACGTATACCATTGTCTATTTGTTGTAGGGTTACAGTCACATTGGTATATGTATACCATCGTCTATTTGTTGTAGGGTTACAGTCACATTGGTATATGTATACCATTGTCTATTTGTTGTAGGGTTACGGTCACATTGGTATATGTATACCATTGTCTATTTGTTGTGGGGTTACAGTCACATTGGTATATGTATATCATTGTCTATTTGTTGTAGGGTTACGGTCACATCGGTATATGTATACCATCGTCTATTTGTTGTAGGGTTACGAGTCAAATTGGTATAGGTATACCATCGTCTATTTGTTGTAGGGTTACGGTCACATTGGTATATGTATACCATCGTCTATTTGTTGTAGGGTTACAGTCACATTGGTATAGGTATAGCATCGTCTATTTGTTGTGGGGTTACCGTCACATTGGTATATGTATACCATTGTCTATTTGTTGTAGGGTTACAGTCACATTGGTATATGTATATCATTGTCTATTTGTTGTAGGGTTACGGTCACATCGGTATATGTATACCATCGTCTATTTGTTGTAGGGTTACGAGTCAAATTGGTATAGGTATACCATCGTCTATTTGTTGTAGGGTTACGGTCACATTGGTATATGTATACCATTGTCTATTTGTTGTAGGGTTACAGTCACATTGGTATAGGTATAGCATCGTCTATTTGTTGTGGGGTTACCGTCACATTGGTATATGTATACCATTGTCTATTTGTTGTAGGGTTACAGTCACATTGGTATATGTATATCATTGTCTATTTGTTGTAGGGTTACAGTCACATTGGTATATGTATACCATTGTCTATTTGTTGTAGGGTTACAGTCACATTGGTATAGGTATACCATCGTCTATTTGTTGTAGGGTTACAGTCACATTGGTATAGGTATACCATTGTCTATTTGTTGTAGAGTTACGGTCACATTGGTATATGTATATTATTGTCTATGTGTTGTAGGGTTACGGTCACATTGGTATATGTATACCATTGTCTATTTGTTGTAGGGTTACAGTCACATTGGTATAGGTATACCGTTGTCTATTTGTTGTAGGGTTACGGTCACATTGGTATATGTATACCATCGTCTATTTGTTGTAGGTTTACAGTCACATTGGTATATGTATACCATTTTCTAATTGTTGTAGGTTTACAGACACATTGGTATATGTATACCATTGTCTATTTGTTGTAGGTTTACAGTCACATTGGTATATGTATACCATTGTCTATTTGTTGTAGGGTTACAGTCACATTGGTATAGGTATACCGTTGTCTATTTGTTGTAGAGTTACGGTCACATTGGTATATGTATACCATTGTCTATGTGTTGTAGGGTTGCGGTCACATTGGTATATGTATATCATTGTCTATTTGTTGTAGGGTTACGGTCACATTGGTATATGTATACCATTGTCTATTTGTTGTAGGGTTACAGTCACATTGGTATAGGTATACCATTGTCTATTTGTTGTAGGGTTACAGTCACATTGGTATATGTATACCGTTGTCTATTTGTTGTAGGGTTACAGTCACATTGGTATATGTATACCATCGTCTATTTGTTGTAGGGTTACGGTCACATTGGTATATGTATACCATCGTCTATTTGTTGTAGGGTTACAGTCACATTAGTATAGGTATACCATTGTCTATTTGTTGTAGGGTTACAGTCACATTGGTATATGTATACCGTTGTCTATTTGTTGTAGGGTTACAGTCAGATTGGTATATGTATACACTAGTATGTTGTAAAAGAGCGTATGTTGGCCTCTTTTTTTGTTGTTGTAGGGTTACGGTATCGTTGGTATATATATACACTTGTGTATTGTAAAAGAGCGTATGCTGGCATCTTTTTGTTTGTTGTAGGGTTACTGCCATATTGGTATATGTATATATTTGTCTGTTGTAAAAGGGTGTACGATCGCCTCATTTTGTTTGTTGTCGGTTTTACGTCGGACTGGAATATGTATGCACTTGACTATTGTACAATAGCTATTTATGTTTCTTGCTGGGCAAATGTCTCATTTATATATGTATATACTTGTGTTTTGTTGGTTGTTGGATTACTGTCTCATTGATATATGAACAGTCGTCCTTTGCTTCTTGTAGGGTTGCTGACATGTTGACATAGGCATACATTTTTCTATTGATAAAGAGCGTATATTGTCCTCTTTTTGTTGGTTTCATTGGTATTAGTATACACTTGTATATTGTTAAAAAGTGTATGTTGGCCTTCTTTTGTTTATTGTTTGGTAACGGTCTCATTGGTATATGTATATCATTGCCTTTTATAAGAAAACGAGTATATGGTCTCTTTTTGTAAAGTTTTGTAGAGTTACTTTTGGATTGATAAAATGTCCCTACATATCCTTTTAAGAATTGAATGTAGATTGACACAAAATGAACGGACTATCTGAGCGTCAACCGATGGAACAGAAATATACTATATATACCTAGTTTTCAATTTTAGTTACGTCTAGAAAGGTATCTATAACTTTGGCACTTTACTATCAAATATTTTTCTTTTTTGTTGTGCTTTTCCACAATTTTATACTTTTTCTTAATTGTTGTTTTTACTACGAATTTTTTTTCTGTGAATAACAAGCAACGACTTTTTTAAAGGTCCGTATAATACATAATGCATGGTAGAACTTCTGTCCTATCTGTAATATGCTCTTTATGCTCTTGGAAGTCCAATTTTCAACCTTAAACCCGGTAGACCCACTTTACAGAATATGCCTTTGGATTTAATGTTGATTTGTGAATTCTCGTCCTCAATTTGCATGTAATATTTGCCACGGCATTCAATTGATTATCTTTTAAACTTTTCTTGCAATGTTAGTTGAATGAAGAATATATATAAAAAACTTCAAAACAAATAATATTTTAATATTTCTTTTATTTCACAATATTTTCTCAAGACAGATGTATAATAATTTATCACAGCAAACGCTTGTGTGTGGTTTTCAAACATGTGACAATCACGTGACGTGATGTTGGAAATGAAATTGGCAGTGATTGTTCAATAAATAAATGCGCATTCAATTTACAAAATGAAGAATGAAAATGATCAATAAAGCCTTATATAGGAATAATTTGATATAAAAAATGAAGCGATTGTCAATAAAAAAAGGGAAAACAAATAATGGTAAAGGTAGCACTTCAAACAAAAATATACAAAAACATCATAGCACCATTTGGCTTTTGGTTGTTGGTATACAGAAAATTATAAAGCATATAAATAAATAAAGCATAAACAAAAATCAGGATAAAATAACCGACAAAATATATGTAAAATGAAAAGTATTTCCAGCTTAGAAGAAAAATATATGATGTATTTGTTCCGTGCCCTTATCTTTTAAAATAAAATTTTTAAAAAAATGGTATCATTGGAAAAATGCATAAATCGATAACGAACACAATCTACTCCCAATAAAATAAATGCAAACATATCTAGATTGATATTACAATAACTAATATACAAGTGGCCTACAGTCTTGTTCAAGTTCATTTTGATCTTCAGTCTTAATGACACCACTGAACGGTTCGGCCACAGTTTTATCAACATTATTGTTGTTAACGAGACAGTTCTCTCCCTTTAAGAACAGCGATTCTTGTTGTTCATCTTCTTCTTCATCTAGTAATTCATCTTCTGAACAGTCAATATTTTCATCGACGTCATCTTCGTCAATTTCACCATCGATACTACCGTCAATTTTCTCCTCAGTTCTATCGTCAAGATGATCTATCGGGTAGTCCGTCTTCATATCGGAATGAAATGCGGAATGTGGATGGGGAATATTTGTCGCCTTTCCGATAAAGTTTCTGATTTCAGAAAAGTATGATTCATCTTTTTCATCCAAATCGGGTTCATTGACCGGTGAATCAGCGACAATTGGTCCGTCTGTTTCGTGTTTTTTCAGATGGCGGTCTAAGTTCGTCTGTTGACCGAAACATCTCTCACACAATGGGCATTTGAATGGTTTCTCTTTATTATGAATGTTTCTAACGTGTCTCTGGAGGTTGGATGAAATGCTGAAGGACCTTTCACAATATTTACATTTGTACGGCTGTTCACCCGTATGAGTTCTCAAGTGACGGGTGAGATTGGCAGAGCGAGGAAAAACTTTTCCGCAAAATTTACATGAATATCGTTCTTTAAGTTTATTAATGGGTGAAGTGTAGCGAAACTGCTCTCCTAGTTTGTCCATTTTAAGTCCATGAGGCATTGGAAAAGCAGCTGAATCTTGCTTGAACATATTCTGTACAAACGGATTGAATCCTGGGAAGGATGTGTTGGTGATTGGAAATCTGGGCATTGACAATAGTTTAGATGCTGCTTTCATATGATCATTGTCCATTCTCAGCGCATGCTCAAACATCATTGGGTTAGGTATTTGAGGGTATGCATAATGTAGTTTGTTATCTGGTAAACTGATACTACGCAAATCACCGAATATATGAGTCTTTCGGGAATTCTCGGGTTGTGCTATTTCTTTTGTCGATTTCCTTGTTAAGTCAAGTGGTTGTTCTGATGGATTTTTTGTACTTTCTCGATCTGAACTTACAGATACAGGTGATGATGAAGCCGAACCTGGCTTTGATAAATCGAATGGGGTCTCTTGTTCAAGTTTTGGTCTGATGTTCAATTCTCTTTGTGGTGAAATTGGTTTTGGTATAACTATTTGAGGCTGAAACAATGTTCGGCTAATGGATTCAAACGGAGAATGCGGAATGTCCTGTTTTTTGCTAACACTACTTTCGCTTTCGGCATCTGATCCCGACCCAGAATCCCTGTCATTATGAGAACTAAAACTCAAATCGCTATGTTCTGAACCCGATGAATTTCTTCTCATTCTTTTCTCCGGTGGCTGATCATTCTCATTGTGCATATGTGATTCGTATGATGTCACAGATGACTGATCTGGAGAACCTGCTTGTCGCATCTTTGCAAGAGAAGACGGTGTTAGCGATGATGGCATGCCTGGGAATGGAGTGCTGCCTGGAAACATTGGAAACGTACCTCCTAATGGCGGATAAAATGGGTATGGTGGACGGTACATTGAAAAAAGAGGGTTCAGAACTCCAGCTTGTGATGTCGTTTGGTGGAGATTAATAGTGTTCATTTTTTCCGGTGAAAATCCTAAATGGAGCCCGTTACGTAAAGCACCTTCGCAAAATCGTTTGTGCTTGCTCAAGGATGTCATAGTTGAAAATGCCTGACCGCAATCTTTGCACTTGATTTGCTGGCGACAATCAGCATGCATTCTTTTATGGCGACATAAATTTGAAAACTGGGTATATGCTTTGAGACAGACTTCGCATTGGAATGGTTTAATACTGCTGTGGATGTGTTGGTGTTGTTTAAGACCACTAGATGTCGCAAATGTCTTTCCACATTCAGTACAGGTGTGACTTCTGGCACCGACATGTTGTGACCGGATGTGACGTTGAAGATTGCTTGGGTCTGTGAAAATTTTATTACAGTTTTCACACGAGTATCGCTTCATAGCATCATGAGCTGCCTGTAAAAAAAGAAAAAATACTCAATAAAAATATTATATCATGACAAACAACCCAACAATGTATATTCGGCAAATATTGGTCACCTTTGGTCTTCAAATAAGTGCAACAAATTACAACTTAGATTTTAACTTTAGTCCAACCTATTCCGAGACCTAATATAATAGTCTAAAACAGTTATTACAACTTAGATTTTAACTTTTCCCCAACCTATTCAGAGACCTAATATAATAGTCTAAAACAATTAATTTCTATGACAAGTACATTTAAGTTTCAAAAGTATATCTTTTTTTTCATATCTACATCAACTCGACAACACAAATGACATTTTTATTTTAAAATCTGTCCATTTAGGATGTACACGTGCTTGAACCGCTTCCTTATAAGCTTCGCCTGACTATTAAGTCTAAAATTTATATATTCTTTGAAGGACTTCTTTTAATGCTGAAAACAAGGCAACTTAAAATATCCTTAGTTCGATCATTTACATATAAGATTGTAAATAATTCTTTCTCTTTTTTTTTAAATATAATTAATTTAATATTTAAAGATGTTGGCAATACTTGTACAATAATTGTAATATTTCCTCATTCTGAATGTATCTCCAGACGTTAAAAAACACCAATCGTAGATTTTTCCTTTTAATTAGTGGTGATATGCTGAGAAGTAGTGGTGGGTGGTTTTAGATATGCTTACCTGATGCTTTAATAGATTGGACTTCCACTGGAATGATTGTGGACATTCATCACATCGATAGTCCCCTTCTCCACTTTCCATATAGTCTGCACTGTTACTGAAAAATAAGGGCAACATTTAATATGTTTTCTTATTGAATTCCAAATTAAAGGGGAGTCAAGTTGATTGTTTGAAACTGGTCGTATAATGCGAATGGGATTTCCCATCACTTTAATTAATTGTCCTAGGAAATTTTGTTGCCAAAACTGTGTGGTGTAATTGTTTTTTCAAGTACTTTCTTGGAATTTTCTCATCAGATACAGTTATGAGTCAATCTATTTCAACTTTATAACTTCATTTTAACTTCGTATATGGGTGGGGGGGGGGGGGGGTCTCATCACGATTCACGAGTTGATTTTTTTGTCAATCACGATTCACAGAAAATAAATTTATATGATCACGGATCACGAAAATATATAAAAAAAATAAATCTGTAGAAAAACGGATCACGATAGCGAAAATGCGCCGATCACGAAGAACGAAAATAACCCATCAGGCCCCTCGTATATCAATACAAATAGATATGGCGGAATGTAATATAAAAAGTTCGAATACATTAATGATTGACATTTAAACTCATAATAGAAATTTAATTCTGTATGAGACCGTAATACTGAATATAATAATTGAACTTCATTGTAAAGAAGACTAGGTTTAATTCAGTGACATGATCGTCTATCAAAAACAAGCTCCCATTTGACCCAGATTGTTCAAAGTTTTACAATGACTTGAAAGATATTGTCAAGTCTTTTATGCGTTTTACAAAAGGTAATTTTTCATAAGTCGTCATTTTTTATTAGAAACGAGAAATTAAGTTTGATTATGAAAATTCATTTAGTACATTTTTATTTGGAAATATTTTTCTTTTCACAGTTGTATAGAACAATTTAGTGTCAAACTTAATTTATTGCTCAAATAATTTTGCTAGCTCTACTGAAGTAGGAGCCCCAGACGTAATCGCTAATTACTGTCAGAAGTAAGTTTACAATCAGATAAAATAACAAGTCATGACACTATTAACAAAGTGATCTTCAAGAGACCCCTAATGTCAACAATACATGATATATTCATTGTGAAACTTTTGACGGCCTTTTTGAAAGATCAACTTTACAGATCGTATTTCCATGCAAATTTTAGAAAATATTATTGTGTGGTTTATATTTTCTTGAATTTATTTATAAAAACTAACAAGCATTTTACATGTTATTGGAAAACAAACTTCTCTCATGACAACAATCTGTGCCCTCTAAAGTACATTTAATGAAGTATCAATTATCTAAATGTTTTTTGAGACATTCGATGCAATATTTCTCTCATATTTAGGACGAGAGCAAATTAAGCAATTTAAGAGGATCTGACCGTTATGAGGAACGGAAAATTGTAACTGCAAGTCAAAAATGGGTATGCTGTACAGAGGCAGAACATTTATCATTCAAAAGGTCGATAACTGGCCTTTGGAGAGTGGTAATAGCCAAAAACGTGGCATAGTCGCCATTTTCCCCTCACCCAATTGGCAGTAGTATTTTTTGGCTTTTCAATACATACCTTTTGCCCTCTTCATCAGAAGATCCTTGTCCATTGGTCGGTATCATGTGTCTGGTACAAGAAAATGCTTGGTGTCTTTTCAACTCTTCTCGTGAGGTAAGGATCGCACTACAATCTCCACAAGGATATTTTGCTATCTCTGAAAATAAAAATAAAAATAATTTAAGAACTTTGATGAATTGATAAGTTAATTTTCTGATGTTCGTTCTATGTCTAGTAACTTACCGTTTGCTGATAAAAAATAATTACAATTTTTGATAATTTTTAAACATAATTCGTTTATTTAAAACCACTATTTGTTGACCATAAAATACCGGTTTATTTTTAGTTTTTATTTAAACTTAAGATGATGGTACTTTCTCCATGATGTTTATTAATTAATAATAATAATAATTAATTAATTAAATAATCTTTGAAATTCCTATTAATGAGAGTGTATTATGCATTTTATTTTCAAGACATAAATCTTGTGCCTTTGAAACAATGTGTATGAGAAATTCCCATATTGATTATATTTCCTCTTTTCGAAACTTTCGGTTTTATTTTCAAGGCATGAATCGAAAGCATCGTTTGATAATAAATATGTCACTTTTAATAAAACTCATTAAATCAACACGAAAAATCACAAAGGATTTGCACTGATATCCATAAAGTTTATATGAAAGGAATACAAATTTATCTCATTTTATAGCCTTTGTCCAACTTTCAATTATTCCTTATTCAGGTATTGGATGCGGTAAATTTTCATTTATAACAAAACATTTTCTCCTCTTTGAAAACGTTATAAGGAACAATAATAAAATTTTATTGTACAAAAGGATGGTGTCATTGCACCTTGAACACGCATCAATTCTCTACAATGGCGGGGCACCGCGGATGATAATTAGCGCTTGTGGAGACACTGACGACCCTCCCCTTTTGACATGTGCATACCTCAAAATCGTCCGTTCTTGGCAGATGTTGCATTAATCTTATCTAACAGGTTTATTGACAAACTTCGGTCTTACATCATAGGTGCAACGCTACCATCTGCCTCGGATAAGTCATTGTTATTCCGAATTTGTTTTGAAATTTTTAATTTTTGGAAATGAAAAAAGTCATCTTCGAGTTCCATCTGCCCCCTAAAAATGATTAACAACTATCTCGTGTAATGAGGGATTAAATTTCAGAGGGTATAAATCTTATTATTGAGCACTTATTGAAGACAAGATGTCACAGATTCAAATTAAATGATTTTTTTAAACAAGCATCATTTCAAGATGTTAATTTATAAAAAGAGATTTAAAAAGTGAACTTTTGAATTAAGTTCTTTTGAGGATGTTAAAAATTAATCCCTAACTTTGAATGAATTCTTCTATTTATGAAATAAAATTGAGCACGCGCCCTTTGCACTTTTATAAATCGATCTCTAAAAAAATTGGATACTGCGAGTTTGTATTTAACCTTTTATCAATAATTACATGGGATACGGTTACAATTTAAAATCTAGAATAAATTGACTAGCTAAATGTGATACACTGTGTGGTAAAAGAGGCTAAAAAATAAATGAAATCTACACTTTCAAATCAATTCATTTCAAATGTTTTAAATCAAAGAAGATTTCTGTTTCTGTCAATCTCCTATTTAATAATATTGTATGATGTTGAGGGTCTTTGAAATTAAATATTTACCACAAAAGGAACTGAAAGTAACAAGTGCAACTCATGGGTGAAAATGTTCCTCATCAAAAAGAGAAAATGAAATTATCACATGTCTTTTATTAAATTTCTATCAAATTTAATGAAAGTGGTCGTTAAAAGCGTGATTTTGAGATATTTACACGAACTTATACATCCGTTTAAATTTAATGAAATTGATGAGCTAGGCTGTCTCCTCAAATATCAATTAAATTCTTTTAAATTTTAATTTATTTGGGGTTCAAAGCATTATTTGGTTTGTCATTCTGTGGTGAGTACCTTGGATGGAATTTAATTAAGCGAACTGTATACATCTTAGACTAGATATATCTTTTTGTCCATTGATTCTCGTCATATTTAAGGCACAGTGGGTGAAACAAATTATCAATATTTTGCCTTGTCACTCATGATTACTTAGACCTTTTTACTACTAAACCATATAAATGAATGCAATTTCATTACATATGCCTTTTGGTGAGATAAATTACGGTGGGTTCGAAAAGTACTTGTAATGTAAAGGTCAACCTGGGTGGTATTCCGAATGTTTTCATTTTCCAATAATTGATTCTAATCATTTTTGAGAGAATACTCGCCGTAGTAATAAAATATCTATTAATAATAATTCAATAGTTTACCAGAAATGTTTGCGCCTTGCTATAGTAATGGAATCGGTAGTTTATCGTATTTATAGTTACAATAGAATTTTATTTTTTAATAGATTCGATATATTTTTAGAACGTTTTATTGGACACAATATATCCCTGAGTATCACTCTAGACCCTAATGGTATGTAAAACGCCTAAAATTCCATCAAAGTGTCATATACTTACAACAAGATGACAAAATCAACATTATGGTTGCTTACATTTACTACGTGAACTGTAGAAGCATGAAATATTTATCACTGGACGTTAAGCAAACATCAATCAATCAAGCAACAAAATTTAGAACCAAAAAAAAAACGTCATATTTTTCCTGATCGCATTTCAATTGGAAGATATAAAAATTTCAAGTTTCACTAAAAATTTGTTACAGTGCGACAAATGTTAGCATCAGATCGCTAAACCTTTTAATTATACGGGTCAAAAACCTTCAAAAACAAAATATCTGAAACCGCGTCTTTTTCGCGTTAGTAACAGTATTTCTTGGTGTAAGGCTTTCTTGGTATAAGGCTAGACTGTTGTGCGCGAATACATGTTCTACTATATACTGTATACTATACAGATCCTTGGTTTTAATTCAACTAACTTTTATCCTAGATGTATACACAGAAGCTTGAATTTTCAAAGAAGATAATTTAGAAAATACATGTTCCATATATGATATAAACAGATAATGCATAACACCCTAATCTGTTAATTGGGCTTTATTGAATACAAATACGATCAATTTCAATTAGTTAATTTAGTGCTATCTTAAAGAGACAGTTATGATAGCATGTCATATTTCCCCAAATCTTCTTAAAGTTGACACTAACGATACTCACATTTCAATATATGAAGACGTCTTAACAAGTCTCTTACTGTGATAAATAAACAATGACCAAGATGTGTTGTTTACGTGTGAAAAATAAATAGCTGAATGAAGACATTTACCTCTTGCAAGTTTACTATAATAGTAGTAATTTTTCGGCTGATTGATTTTGAGGTTTCCGTGGTATTATATATACCCATGTTTACCTTATTTTCATTCACAATAAGAAATACGAAACTCATCTAACCCAAAACATTGTTCAAAAAGAATACTGCCAAATCATGGTAAAAACCACTAGCTGGGGTTACCAGGTACGATGGGCGGGGCTCAATAATTACCTGTTGATTACCTTTCAAGTTTATGATATGTTTATCATCCCATATTGGAAATAATAATTTTAACGGTACCAATTGGAAAATCAGCATTTATGGTCAAAAAATGTTTGAAGTTGTGACAATTCTTAGATTTGCACGGTTAATGCCTTTTAGAATACGTTATCAAATTAGCAAGTATCAATTCAATTCGAATCTATTTGATTTTAATAAAAACAATAGGTAGTGAGAATGATTTGAAATATGAGACCGACAACCAAAATGTGTAATTAAATGAAAATATTTTCTTACGGTAGTTTCTTTCAATTTGTTGTAAGAAAAACGTGCATTTTGTATGAAGGAACAATTATTTTCGAAGGACAAAATGATAAAAATATTCCATTTTTCATTTCGTTTTTCTTATTAATTTTTTGTAATATACGATTCTTAACAATATCTGTGTGATGGTTATGTGTTGATATTTATAAAAAAAAAAAACTATGTACATTTATTACAACTTCAAAAGATATTAATGTTTCAAAATTAAGAAATGTTTCTTTTCAAACATGGTGTTATTAATTTTTATTCGAATTTCTCAAATAACTTTTATTAGATGTCTTCAAAGCTTTTATCTATGTAGATAATTGTGTATTGAATGAATCTTCTGTCGAAATTCTCCCGTTATAGCTGACAGATCAAGAACACGATATGAAGATTATTTAGGCGACAAATAAATAAATAAGACTTTTCTCAGCATTCACAGGAGTTCCCTCAGAATATAGATTAACATAATCGTACAATTAAACATCACAGTTAAACACATCAAACAGATATTTTATGAAACAACTGAAGACGCCTGCAACAAATGCACTTTGCCAAGTGCAAATTTAGCATTATTGCTTAAATGTATTACAAAGTTTGACGTAGTTTCACAAAAAAAACCTCGAGTTCAATAACAAAAAATGAATCAAACATTTATAATTTTTAAAAATCAAACTACCGGAAATATAGGCAATAAATATGAATTGTTTTTAAATACCTCTATTGATCGTTAGCAAATAAATTTGAATTTAGAACATTTCGTTTTCTTCTCTATTTAATGTAAACATTCAATATTATCTTTCAATGGATTCAAAGATCAAATAAAATATAACTTTCATTTTCAATTTGTATTTTCCATTTAAACAATTTTGCATTATGACCGTTACCTTTTTGTTTTTGTCATATATTGTCCATCAATCACAGCTGCAATACACAAATATACTAATTCGACTAGATAACTATTAATTCTTGCATCATATATAATAGGATAATTAATATTTTACAATAACAAGTCTATATATGCATGTATTCATGCAATGAAACATAAACAAGTTACCATAAAGACAAGTGAATTATTAATTAAAAAAACTTTAAGTTTCAACTCACCGTTTTCAAAGGCTGAAAATCCCTCTGTCTGTTTTTCCGAATACACAGGGTCAGTTGAATATAACAACATCTCTTGACCGGCTTCAATGTCCTTTATAACTTTATAAAATACCTAAATAGATGTGTCAATATTAAAAGCTTTTTGACAACAAACTACTTTCATAATGTGTAACCGATAATAAAATCCAAAATTTCAATGATTAAGAAAAAATATTGGATTTGATAGGTTGAACGCTTGTCATTGCAGAATTCATTAGCCAATCAGATCGTCGCTGTTAGTTGTAGGTGATACCGGTTGATTGGTGATTATCTTTACCCTATCTTCAATAAGGTATCACATTACGGCTTAACGGGATGATTGACAGGTGGTTATACACAGTGGTTTTGTAGAAAATAATAAAGATAACGGATTTCTCCGGTAATACAGTCAGATAAAATATTTATAATATTGACCAAAATGTTAATCACATTAGTATTTTAAGTGTTTTAGAATACTGAAATTGTTTTAGATAATATTTCAAGCAGATTATTTTCTTCCTACATATATTCCTATGCTTATATTCATACAAATACTACATATATAAATTATTGTGGCATTTCTGTTATTTGGCGGTGAACAAATTCAGATATATTACATTTACAATTTAACAAAAAAAATAAATTAATGCAGACTTGTTTATTATTTTCCTTGCCATCTTTGTAAAGGCACGAATTCTAATTCATGACATTTATTTATTTATTTGTTTAAATTCATCCGTTTGTTTATTTATCTGTATATTGTTGAATAATTTACATGAAAGATACATAGATACTTTATTCCTTAAAAACTAAGTACAAATTTATATTTGTGAATGCACATAATAATTATTGAAATGTGAATAAAATAGTGCATTAGGTAACTTAATATTTCAATCATGGAATGGAACCAATCTTGTAAATCAAACACATATTCAACGAATTCACTTCTGTTTTTTAGTGTAATTTGAATAAAAACTTTTGAATTGCAACAACCCTTTTTGAAGCCAAGGGATGCTTATTTACGAGTTCATCGTTCTGATGAGGAAGGCATTTAACATAATTTTACAAAATCATAAAAAAGTGACACAATTTTATAAAAATATCTCTTTCTCACGAATTTCGTATCATCAAACGAAATTGAACACACGTGTTTTTCTTAATGTTCCTCGAGAAGTTTCCATTAATTATGTAGTGCAGCTTGCAGTGCCAACAAGTGGCCTATCATCAACTCAAGGACTAAATATTTGCTATGTTCAACATTTAATAAGTCGTTATACGATTATTAGAAACACATATCGCAATCTACAAGTGGCTATAAATTTCAAGCATCCATCAGTTAGACTTTTCCTGTCTCGAATAAACGTGATGACATTCTAATACTAATTAGAATTCTGCATGTACTATGTATGGAAAAACACTGTCTAAACTCCAATACATTCAATTAGTGTCATCAAGGACAAAGAAAGATAGTTGATGAAACTGACATTTTCTTTCATTTTCACGCGCAGAAATAAATTTTATTTGACCTGACTTTTCACGGGGGATAATACGAAACAGTGTCTAGATATTCTGGATCCTACTGCGTGATCTATGACAGCTTATGACAAGATGAAAGAAATTTACATTTAATCATTTTAAATTGGTGTATTGTCTTTACACATATCTTACACATATTTCAAATAGTTTTAATTACTGTCTCAAGAAGTTGTCGGTTTCAGAGTAAAGTGATTCAGAAATGTACATATTTTATTTAACTTGTCACCACAATAGACAGATAAAATCTATATTTATTATTCGTAATTAAAGATTTTTAAAAACTGCTCAACATGTGTGGATAACTTGAGGGTCATTGAAGTACAATTTGTATCCGAAGCTTTCAGTGACCGATTCATCTGGGAAAATTGTAAAATTAACATGAATGAACTCATTTACATAAGTTTACGACACAAGTTCAATCTTCAGTCTACACATTCTTTAACAAGACAACATAAAATCAATCAAAAGATTGTGCTAAAGAACTTGTCTTAAACACTCATGAAATATTTGCCACTGGATGGTAAGCACACGTAGCTACCAATCCTGCAAGATTAAAATGTTTGAAAGGGGCTGATGTATACATCCAAACACATTTTTATATACTATAGTTTCCTTGTGTTGTCTGCAAAGTGAATATATATAAATTTGAAAAATTTACTATAACTTCCTCCGGTGCCGGATATTTATTAATATAAATCGGCTGAAGACGCAACTTAAACACTAATAGGAGTATTGATATAGTTCATGTACATACAAAAAAAACTGTTGGACGATTTCTTGTAACGGTTAGCAATTGGATGGTTTCAATTATCAACTAATTGATTATTTTTTTCTTGCTTAACGTCCAGTGGCAAATATTTCATACACAATATGAGAACACGTTAAGAATACAACAGCTAAAGGTATATGTAGGTTCTGCGAAAACCGATATCAAGGGCGATTATATATATTTTTTTACTGTTATTGAAAATAGACTGTATGTTGAATATGACTTGCATTTTTCTTTGCAACATGCCACCTATATATACATATACCATTCGAATTAATGTTGCAGGGAGAGTGCCATTCTCACTGCATGCATGTTGAAGAAATCTCCCTCCAAGACATCAGGTTTAACACACTTCATACATCCCGCATGCGAAACAATTGCTAATTGTAACAATGAACTGAAGACATTGCAAATATAAATACATATCAAGATACTTCAACTTTGAAATAACTGGAAGGTACTTGATGATGTATGTATTTTTAGGAAAACAGTGCATGTGATTCCAATCTGATATAACGTACATGCATAGTTTAAAGAAAAATACGAAGAGAGAGGGTTTAGATCCCATACCCTCCACTTCGACCAACTATATACATATAGGTAATTTATATACCTTGCCATTTATATGTTTGGCCATCATGTTGGAGTTTTCAGAGTCTGTGGACCTCCGAATATAGTTCAGCCAGTGTAGTTCTCCATCGTGTTCTTTCATTGTCATACTTGAACCCTACAAAACAAATTTACCATATGTTGAAAAACATCTAGAAAGTAAAACTGATTATGATACATACTAAAAAGTAACAGAATACATGTGAATACGCAAGAAAGGGCCTGCCACTATTAACCAACAAAACATATGGAAAAGATAATGTTATATATAAGAGGCTCTTTATTCCTCAACGAAAAGTCAATCTTTATTCGTTTTCAAATCATTTTATTAATGAAATTCAAAGATAACATTTATGAATTAAATGTTTTCGAATGACTATATATTTCTCAACTATATGACACCTAGCTTTGTTCTCCATACAATCCTATAATTGTTTAACACACTTGGGGGACAGTTGTTCTTATATATCATCACATGTTTTAACAAGTAAACAAAACAAAGAATTTTTCAAGTTCATTGACTGCCCATACAAACAAATTTTAATGCCATCGCATGACTGCAGCCCACTATCAGTCGTTTATCCAACGATTGTCCATTATGAGCAACAGAGAGGCAAGTCCGTAATATCGCCTCGAAATTTGACCCTCGACCGAAACCATCACTTTAGTGCAAAATCATTAAAATCTAGTATGCAATCATTTTCTTTTATTTTGAATCAATGATTATCAAAAATGAAACTTCTGTTTTTACTTCGATGTACATGCCATTCCACAAAATTTTTGAAATGAAATGTGAAAGAATTTGATATCATGTGATATTTTGACATTTGCGGATAGAAATTAAAAGGAAACTAACATCTATGACTAGTTTCATTAAGGAAATATTAAAGTGTCCATTTCACATGATTGAGATGTCAACCAACTGATCATGCTGAAAGGGGGAGGTTATAAATATACATACCAATAAATTATATATGTGAGGGTCTATAGATGGGGCATTAGGAGGAAGTCTCCATTTCTGTATTATATTATTTTCTGTTGCCATTTTTTCTCTATTCTTTATTTATTTTGACAATAATTCTCTATTCTTTTATATTTTAGCAACCCATGCATTATTCTCTATTCTTAATTTTTAGCAAACCATTATTCTCTATTTTTTTTATTTTTAGCAACCCATTATTCTCTAGTTTATTCATAATTCGCTAATCTGTAAAACTCATCCAGACCCTCCTATATCAATATGGTAATTATGTCAACAGATAGTGAACCGGTAGTATAGTTGGATACTGTTTCTGTTCTAAAAACGATTTTATTAGTTATTCAACAAAATTAAAAGTGTTAAAAGAGGAGATAAGAACATTTATCTAAATAGGAACTTCTGTTTTTACCATAATGAACAATTTGAAAATTTCTTTCAACCTTTGAATATTTCCACTGAATTTTTATTTCCTCTCTATGCATGTATATAGATCTTAGTAAAAGGGAACACTAATTCAATAAATAGAGTGGATGAAGAGTTCATAGGCGTCTTTCCTCTAATGACTGAATGACTTATACATTCTGGGGTTTGGGCGTTCCTGGTGAAGGTTAATACGGAAAAATGCTTCGAACGCAACACATTTATATCGTCGCTGGGCTACCAAAATGTAGTATTTTACAAATTTTCAGCAAAAATAAATCTCACAAACAGGCTTTGAAAATTTGGATGAAATATTTGCTTCCAAAATGTTGTATGTGAACTTGAACATTTTTTATCATGGCTGTGAAATAAAAAAGTTGGACATTTCTGGATAATATAAAAACTAACCTTATTTTCACAGAAATAAAGAAATCAACAAGATTGTGGTTCCCAACGTCATTATACAACCATTTTAAAGTTTACATACAACATTTTGGATGCAAACTTTACCAACAATTGAGATTGGCAATTGTGTCACATATCTTATATCAAATGTTTTGAGTGGTATAAATGTGTGATATTTTGGAATATCAGAGATTTCCTCCCGCCAAGACGGTTTGTGTGAAAAAGTATTGTTTGCAAAAAAAAGTCATATACGACATTTTGGAAACCCAGCGACGATATAGTACTATTTTCATTGTCTAGCACTGGTTCGATACCACTGATCGTGGACTACTAGTCCTCTAGAGTATTATCAGCTCAGTAGCCAGTGCTTCGAATTCGATCATGACACGATTTATAACATACCTGTCAAGTCTTAAATTGATAACTTTATAAATTATTAAGAAACTAAGGTTCGAACTCTTTCAGACAAAGCTGCATGACCTTGGATGGATTTGACCATTTTTTGACCATTGTTTGGTCATACAGCCCCTCGATTATTCAAGTATTTACACATCCTTGGTTTTTGATATTTTTGGGTTTTAGTTTTAATATTGATATAAAGGTGAACCCACTAAAGCGCTTCGGAAGCACCAAAGTGATATTGTGTTATTTTCATTTTATAATGTTAAGCCAGAAATGTATAAGTATATACTAAGTTGGGAATTGAGACAAAAAAAGTACAACGAAAACTGTGGAAATGAAAGTAAGGCTTAGAAAGTGACACCACAATTCCTCGGATAAAGGATAATTCAGAAAAGTATTCGCAAAGTCACATGTATGAATTTATTTCAAAACGCCAAAATTTAGAAGCGCATGCCTGTACCTAGATCGATTTGGAGGCTTGAGTTTCAAAAGTTTCCTTTCGCCATATGTAAATGAGCTTGTCGCGTCAATTATCCAACTGCATGGTTTTGAGATTTTTCACGAAAATAATGTTTCAAACCATCAACACGAACAATAACACACAAATAAAAAGAACAGCCACCACCGAAAATGCTTTTAGGAATAGGAACATAAAACCATGTTGTTTTAAAGCGCCCCCAATAATATAAAAATAAGGAGATGTGGTATGAATGCCAATGTCAACTTTCCACCAAAAGTCCAAATGACGTGGATGTTAATAACTATTTGTGTGGCCTTCAACGATGGGCAAAATCCATAGTCAGCTATAAAAGGCCCCGACATGACCAAAAGCAACATGTGTACATCAAGTGCAAGTCAACTGAAGTAAGAATAACACTATGAAAGTTTAAAACTACCGATTAAAGCAAATGCTACATGTTTAATCGCATTATATGCAAATTTTCACACCAGTTTCATTTAGACACAAACAATCACTTCCCTATACATATTTGTACTCCTGAGGTCAAGTTATTATTGTTCTTTGCGTGATCTTGCTGTGAGAGATCGTGGCTCCAGCCAGATTCATCTTATCTTTTATTAAAATATATGACCGTGATGAATTAGTCATCTCAAAAGCGATTGTGTATTGACAACCATCTAAGACAAAATATAGGTATTTTATCTTAAGATCAAGATATATACATTGTCCGGGAGATGTCACAGGGAGCATGCGACCATATGATACTACTGGGATCCATCGTGGCATCTGTGGGCCAACTCAGAGGACATCGAAGTTCAATTATAAATGTAAAAAAAGTTAATATAATTTTACTTACTAGATTAAAATTTTTGAAAAATTAGAAAAGTATTAAGACGAAAAAAACTTCAGAGCACATAAATCTAATCTTATGGAGATCATTCAACAATTAGATGTACCCCCTTCGAGATCCCATATTTAGCAACTGCAGTCATTAAAATAACTCGTATTCATTTCAGAAATTATACGTTATTTCGTTAGATGAAACTAAATATCGACATGAAGCAACAACATTTTACTCTATTTACAGTTTTTGACAATACAGGAAATGATCAAAATGTAATTTAATTCCAATTTAATTGGATTAATTTTCCATCTGCCTGTTTATTTTTAGTGTCGTCCGTGTATATTTCATGGTGCAATTGACAAGAAATTTATTTCCTTAATTAAATCGATTTAAACGATTGGTTTAATTTGTAAACAAATTACTGTTATCTGTAGGTGTCAAAAATTAAAGGTCACCCTTAAATTTCAAGATTGTATTCATTAGGGTCTATGACAGTAAAAGAACGGGGTAGGCCACCCAACGATTTTTCAAGATTTCTTGCCCGATACAGTCGTCATCCTACAAACGTAAACAAAAGAGCCTGTCTTCGCAGACACGTCATTTTTATCTGGATGATATATTTGTAAAAAAAAATCTTGATTTTGTCGTTGAAGAATTATCCTTGGGTTCGACTATTCCTTGTATTGACAATTGTCTGGGTCGAGTTTATAAATGCGATGAAAACTAATACATCTTGAACTACATGTAAGTGCACTTTTCAGCCTCAGAAATGTCAAAACACTGTCAAAAGGTCAAACCGCAAGATATAATATTAACGTCCGCCAGAATATGCAGTTAAATTTTCAGACAAAGAGAACAGAAACCCATATATAACTGCCGTTTGCATATAAATGTATTTTATACTAAATACTCATATTGATCATATTTATATATATTTTTTTACGTCGCAAACTAATTTTAATATAATTCTAAAAAAATTTGTTTCAGTAACTTGGCTGAAAAAAATAAAAGTTTTAAAGTTGTGCAATATTACATTTAATGAAGGATAGAGCAATTACTTTTAAGTGTTCTCAAGTGTTTTTGTGCATGCTGTTTACATAAAAGGCTGATACATGAGTATATGATTTAAAGAATATATTTTTGATTCACTGTAAACAATGAAACCATGCTGTTTTTTTTTAACTTTACAGTTGTTTATAAATAACAAAATAACCATGACTCTTCGGACCAAATGGCAGTTTATGGATTGTTACATGTTTTATTACATTATTTAAACTCTCTAAAACTACACGGACTTCGCTTCGTTCCATATATTTTGTCTGTGAGATGACCGCTCAGTCAAAGCGAAAAAAGAATAAATCAGGAGAAATATATTTATTTTTGTGTGTATTGTTTTTATATATGTCTATGTCTACATTTTTTTTGTCGGGGAGGGGGGTTGCCTCCTTGACATATTTCAATATTTCCTTTTATTGATGCATATAAGTCTAATTTATCTGCAAGCATATTGCCGATGTGCCATGACAAATTCGAGGTAATTTTATTTGTAAATGTATATCATAATTTGTATCAAGTATATTTAAATTTATATGCAACTTATTATCAATT